GGGGGGGGGGGGGGGCAGGAAGAATAATAACGATGTACGACAATGCGGCCGCTGTTGGCGTCGCGTGGCGAACAATGAGTCGCGCATAAATCATAGGCACCGGCGTAACATCGCGTCCGCTGTTATATTGCAGTTGCAACGCTATTTATACACGCGGCTCCGTTAAAAATATCGCAGCGGCTGATTTCTAAAGTCCATTCTGACGGGCCCCGTGATTTTTGCGAGGGAACCTCGATATTGCACTGCCGGATCCCGGATTACGTAACGCACGCGCGGTATATGCGATAACACGTGTGACTTAATTTCGTTGCCGAATACAGACGATCGTTAAACGTCCAATAGGGGACTTAACAAATTTACTACATCAGCGTAGCACGTTTATCGGTTTACGGCTTTTGCAGAGCTTACGCGATATCGAATATTATTCAGCGAATTTCTTGCTTCTCTCCCTCACCCACAAACCCACTGCTACTTATCGACACGGTGCTCAGCTTGAGATTTCCGCTTGATTTTCTTGCCTGATGCAATGAGTCACCGATTGCCCGTAACACGTGTAACAGTAATTGCCTTCCACAACTGTAACGGCCATCTAACAATTTCTTCAGCACAATCAATTATCTCAACCGTACATTCATTAAGTCCCGATACGAATAGTTACCCACCGAGTTGAAGCACACGGGTGAAACAGACACACGGAAACGTCCTCGATGTTTCGGTTAAATCTATCTTCGAACGTCTTTGAACACATATATTCTACAAATAAATTCTAATTATACGCAATAAATTTTCTTACTTATCTCCGTTTGTAGAGAAGAGATTAAGGGAATATGCGTCCATTAAGCGAGCGAGGCCTTACTCGGAGAAAGAATTAGCCGTTGGAGCTAAAATATACCCCGTGGCAGCTGAGAAGTATCTTCGAAATAGGAACAGCTGATGTCGCTGCTACCTCACCTAAATTTATTAGCTGTTTGAATTTAGGCGCTATAGTAAAAAAAAACATATTAGATAGAGTGTACTAATATTACATTCATATTCCTGGTAGGAAATATATTGCCTTTTTTAATAGAAGCTGTACTTAAGATGTTAATGTATGCTGATTTTGCCTCAAATTTAGCCATTTGTTTGATTTAATGCTGTGTCGTATTTGAAAAACATCCTCGAAGTAAGTCGGTCTGTAGAATACCGGATTTTCAGTGACGACGTTAAGATGTTCATTACATAAGTTTATGATTGACTGAAAAATACTTTCCTAATAACGTTTAATTATCCAAGTAATAAATGTGAATTTTCAGCGAAATCAAGAGAAATATGTGCACAATATTACAAACACGGAGATATTATTTATGTATTTATTTTCCTTATTAACGCTTCGTTCGCGTGTCACTAATCAAGTTGTGTGCTCGTAGCGGACGCGTTTTACCTCCGACAGGCCAACTTTTACAACGATAACAGCCGAGTCCGAGACCAGCTGAATGAGATTCAGCCGCCAATACTAAGTAATTTCCCCCGAGCGCATTGAGAACGAACGCGGGGGAGGGGGGGAGTGTAGCTCCGGCAAAGACCTCGGTTGCGTTTTTCAGCAAACAGAAACCCCGGGACGTCGTAAGAAACAATAAGAATAAATCGAGAAGGACGTATAGCGGAAGGCAATACGTATCGCGCGGAGACAATATAGCGCGTCGCCGCGCCGCGATTTATGTTACGAGCATTTACGCGCGCGCGCGACCGGGCGTCTCCACAAAGGACCATTGTGCGATCGCGACGCGGCACGGTTAATATTATTAGCCATCCACGAGGAGCTGCGCTTAAACGGCCGATGCTTTCTGCCCTCGGCCTGAACCTGAGGACTCTATTACCAGCCAATCCTGCAGCGGTTATCTTCTCTTCCTCGTTCGCCGCACGGGCCATTGTCACCAGGCACGAACGACATTACCCGCCCGCTTTGGTCTAGCGGCGTCCAAAGCGGCTCCTTGATCGCCGAGAGAAGGATGATAATGCCGCCGTATATCCAGAAGAGACGTTATTCGCAACACAACATTAGTCAGAGCGGTAAAGAAATGATTCTGCGCGACCTTGGGACCAGCAGGACGGCAGGGATTCCGGCGATCAATTCGCGCTCCGTGGTAGTTGATCAAGTTTATTTAACGGGCGAAAGACATCAGGTCGGGAACAACGGGTGTTATGTCCATTTGATATCTCTATGCTTAATCGACACTGATGTGTGTAAGTATAAAATGTGTTTTCTTCACACTTTTACGTGTTGAACATCGATACAACGCGAAATATATCGAGATGGCATAAACGCAATATGTCGAATTAGCGCACGGGTTATGCTAAGGATTTGAGAGGGAAAATTTGAAAGAAGAACCGATTTGAACACAAGTACAAAATGTTTCTTACCGCGCAACTTCAGTGAAGGATTAATTGTTTTACCGGACTACGCTATCCTTTGGAAGTTACGCTCCATCCCCGGTAGAAAGTTTTTGCTCCTTCGCCAATAACGTCTACCTCTGTATTCATTCGCCGCGGTTTGCGGGCGCGAAAAGTTTATTCTGCGATTTTCAACTCCGCATGGAAACTTTTTGCACCGGTCTCTCTCAGGCTGGTCTATTCATCAATCACGGTTTATTCATTTATTCGAATTTTTCCCCGCGATACGGAGCTACGATCGCCGTTCTTTCACGACACAGTTCAGTGGAGCTGTCTTCATCCTTTACGCCTGCATGCCGCAACAGTCTATAAAACCTAGTAACTCACTCACATCATTACACCGCCTTTTCTGGCCGTGACAAATGATGCCGGTAATTGTAGCAGAGCCGCTCTCGAACCCGCGCGCTTCGTTCTACACCGGTCTACATGCAAGAAAGCAGAGCGATTGTACACCCGATCCCCGACCGACTCTGCTTGGGATACCACGGAACTGGGTTACTCCTTCGCTTTTTCATTCCCCGAATATCGAGAATGTGCAAACCTGCGAGAAAAGAAGCCTCGTGTCACGGAGGTGTCGTGAAAGTCCGCGCGCGTGTTTGATACGGGACGGAGTAAAAGCCCCGCTCGAAGCGGGTAACAATTAGATTCTAGCTGAGGGTATTTCACGGCGATGAAACAACCGCACGCTCGACGTTTGTATCAGGCAGATAGAGATATCGGGACATCGAGATTCGAGGGTTGGCCGGGCAGGCGTCACCTGGCTCGCGCGATCACGACGCGCTCGAAAATCACACGAAAGCGCCGCTGACCGCCGCTCGTTAACGTTCCCCGCGATGGGTTCCCGAGGAATATGGGTGTAAATTATTCCGGGATCGCGATTAGAGGCCGGCCAGCCACCTGCCGGATTCATGCACAGAGACCGCAAGGTATTAATAATCCCAAGATTTACGAGATCCCCAATCGCCGCTCTTCTTCGTTAGGAGGACGCCCTCATTGTCGGTATCGGGTATTACGTATCGATGCCTCTGCCTATGCTCCGCTGTAACGCGAGGAAAAGGGAGAAAAAGACGGGGAGGGGAGGCGAGAATACCTTGAGTCCCTTATTTACCACCAACTTTAGCCGTTTAAACTGTAATTCAATGCCTGTCGAGGTAAGGGCTACTGGGTTTTGTCTGAGCCTCCGGGATTCTTGGTATCACCGGATCCTCCACCGTGTCTCCTTGAACATCTCCTGGCGATACGTGGCTCTCCGAGCTCGTCTGACGCTCTGAAAAACTGATCCTTCCGATGCCACGAATTTGCACGAGAGAGAGCTGTTGCTGTCGCATCGGGAGGTTCCGAAAATATGAAGGACCCGCGCGGGATCCATTCGTCGCCGCGTTCTGAGGGTTCGCGGAAAGGGTGAGTGAGAATAAGACTCGGCTCCTCCCGCCGAGGTGTAACTCGATCGAGTTCTCGATCCAATAGATCAGACGGCAGATTCCTTGCCGGTTATTACAAGGGGTCGGAGGTCGATCGCTCGCATAAACCATTTAGCTCCGATCACCTATCGATACCGATATTTCCCAGAGGTATCGGCTATCTTTCCGCTCGATCTTTGTCCGACAAGGCTCTCTCTCTCTCCTTGTCTAGATGAGCC